ATATATATATATATATATATATATATATATATATATATATATATATATATATATATATATATATATATATATATATAAGAGGAATATACGTATCCACCGCGAGCCCGCCTTATGTGGCGGACGAGCGCGCGAGCGGGCAAGTAGAGTGTGTGTGTGTGTGTGTGTGTTGTGCGTATATAACTGGACGTAACACATTGTTGCGAGTGGCATAACATAACAGTTTAGGTTTAGGTACGCGCCAATATATGCAGACGCGCGAAGAAACAGCGGACACAAAGTTTGAACTTTGAGCGCGGATGGAGGGCGAACAGGGTGTTGTCGGCAAAAATCCTTCAATGTTTTGGAACTAAGGAGTAGCTTTCTACAAAAAACCAGCTGAATCGAAGGTTGTGCCTTTCGGAACTTTATCCCGATAAACATTCATTTCTCATGTCTGAGATAAAATAACGAAATAATACCTCGACAAAACTCTGTCTTTCTCTCTCTCATTTTCTCGCTCTCTTTCTCTCTCTCTCATTCTCTTTCGTTCTTTTTCTTCCTCCTTCTATAATTCGTAAAAAATAATTGAGTGTGATCCGACAATTTTTCCCATATTCGAACGAAGATTCAGTGCGGATAATAAACTGATTTGGAATTTTTTTCTCCTTGTTCCTGCTAAGGTAACATAATATCTACAGCGCTATTATTATTACTTTGTCTCATGGCCTTACAACTAGCACAAATACCGCTCTTATTATTAGTTACATCAAGTAGCGCTACACTTAATTTCTATAATTCCGATCTAGTTGCGAGGAAATTGGGGAGATTACGTCGCGACAATTGAATTTTTAATCAATCGTTCTCCGCGATAGTGATGATGGAATTGTAGTGGTCAGATAATCTGAAGCACGAACGTCGCAAGGATCAGCGTGAGGTCTCACATTCCGCGATAACCTAATCTAACGACCCTCGCCCCTTTCCTATCTCTTTTCGCTGCCATATGATCCGAAGCGAAACAATTTAGACAAACGATTTGCGCATCTGCTGACAAATGAGATCGTCCGGCTACGAAGAACCACGTATCTTTTATGGCTCCTGCACACAGGACGCGGTAATGCTTGCCACGCGGCGGAAGTTCGCGCGACAGCCAATCAATATGCTGCTTTCCGTAATAACCTTCTAGCTCTTACGGAAAAACAACATATTGATTGGCTGTCGCGCGGACTTCCGCCGCGCGGCAAGCATTACCGCGTTCTGTGTGCAGGAACCATTAGATTTCGCTTTTTAATTGCGTTTTATCTATCTTTATTAACTTTCTTCGTTCAGCGATCACTAGCGCGAGCGCTGTCCTGCAACGCGAAAGTTGAGAACTTAGTTTCTTACAAAAAAAAACTTAGTTTCTTACAATACTGAGACTCTTCTTTATCACACTATCGCTCGAAATTCGTACGAAATTTGTAAGTAAATATTTCAAATAACTTTCCACACTATTGAAAACAAAAGCTTACAAACCATATGTTGCTGAGGCTTGCTTCCCCATGCGGCGTAAGATGAGTGCGCGTGACTTGTGCCGACTTATCATATCGTTTCATTTGTATATCTGCTCTATATATTCAAATGAGAGATGTGATTGATCAACGCAAGTTACGCTTACGCAAGTTTCGCTGCATGGGGAAGCAGCCGTATCAAGTACGTGTGTGTTTTAGATATAAGCATCGCAAGGATTCTGACGAGAGGTCTCATCCCGCGAGAATACAACAGTCTAAAGGGACGTCTACATTGGAAGTAAGCAGTAAGAAGTAGAAAGTAAGAATAAAAAATTGACCAATCATAGTTGATTATTCTTCTCACATTCGACTGTGGTTGATCAATTTCTTACTCTTACTTCCTACTTCTTGCTATTTACTTCCAATGTAGACGTCCCTTAAGTCCTACCTCATTTCTCTTTCCACTCATACATGGTCCAAAGCGATGATTCACACCCACAGAGGTTCGCATATCACGGAATTATCATTGTTATGGCGTTACGAGGTTCTCCGTATCTTATAAAAAAGCATGATCGAATTAAGAATGAAGTTCAATCGAATTTATTTGTCCGATTGAATTTTAATCTTTGATTAAATTGTCAGGTGGTGTTGACTAAAATTCCTTTCGACGATGAAAATTCATTTCCCGTGCTTAAAATGAAACAGCAGAGCGACCTTCAATAACAATCTCTCACCCAGTAACGTTAGCTAGACGTAATTAAAAAAAAATAATAGAAAACATGAAACACAAGACGATTTTCCGATATTTAAGCAAAAGTAATATGAACAAACCCACCGCGCATCCTTGCTTCATGCTTCATGCTTCGTCTCTTGACTTGGTATGTAATTCGATAGAATGCTATATAATTCTGGAATACTGGAATACTATAAGTATATCATTGTACTTATAGTATATCATTATCATTATACTTATTATAACGTTATAGCTAGTTCACTTTCTTCTTCCTATTTACAATTAGGGCATTTTCCTTAACGCTTTTATACACATTATACGTGCATTGTGCACGTGAGATGCAATTATAGAGTGTAATTATAGAATGCAATTGTTAATGCAAGCATAATTATATTTTTACATATTCTGCTCACTGCTTGCTTCAAGCAAGGATTTCGAAAAGGTCTCATTCCGCGAGGATTTAATTTGCTCTCTCCACTCTCCTCACATAATCTGAAAGCCCGTATTAACAGTTGTTATTTGAAACTTGTTTTAGATGAGATGCTCAGACTTTTATTCAGAGTCAGATCCAGGTTTTTCCATTGAATTACGACAAAGGTGACACATTTACGTCTATGGCTGTGCGATTCAATAAAAGATCTCCCCTTGAATTCTGAATTGAGATCTGAGTACCTTACTTGAGACGAGATTGCGATTCAATAGAATATCTCTCCTTGAACTTTGAATTGAGACCTGAGTATCTTGAGACGAGTTTCAAGCAATGATTATTAATACGAACCTAAAACGATGATTTGCGCTGAAACTCGGCACGCGTTGCGCATTTCTCAGCCAATTTTCGACTCGCTCGTCTAACTCAATTCTCCTTGCTTCATCGCGCTTCGCGCGCGCACGTCACCTACGAGCCGCTCGAAATTCGTACGATTTGTAAGTAAATATTTCAAATAACTTTCCACACTATTGAAAACAAAAGCTTACGAACCATATGTTGCTGAGGCTGCTTCCCCATGCGGCGTAAGATGGGTACGCGTGACTTGTGCCGACGTTTCATTTGAATATCTGCTCTATATATTCAAATGAGAGATGTGATTGGTCGACGCAAGTTACGCTTACGCAAGTTTCGCTGCATGGGGAAGCAGCCTAAATCTCGAGCGACTCGTGGGTCGCGCGTGCGAGGAACAGCAAGCCGGAAATCGGCCGAAATGTGCAACGCATGTCGAGCTCTGATTCCCGCCGATCAGTGTATCTCCATGGACGAGGTCGTTCTTCAAAATTTACAAGCTGTTAATTAATTACAAGGTTTCTCATAATTTACAAACTGCTGCATTTCAATTAAAAATAAAGTTTCACCGAATCTGCGGTCCCTATTCCTTTCCGACTGAATTTTAATCTCCGATCATATCGCCCAATGGTATTTGCCAAACTTCCTTCCAATGATTTCCCGTGTCCTTCCTTCCCTTCTTCCTGATTTGTCTGAAACTGCAGCTCTGTTGGCCATTATTTCCCATGTCGAGAATGAAACAATGAGCCTATCTCCATATAGTAATAATTTCCCACGCAATACAACGTTTAAAAGCGGGACACAAGACGTCTTAAAGACGTCTTAAAGACGTCTTGGAGACGTCTTATATTCGGACGTTTGGAAGTCTTTGTGTGGGCTGTTGCTCGGTAACGATAGTCAAATGTAATTGACATACAGAAACACTGATCGGCGAGGATGGTCTGAGCAAATATCCTCTGCGGTTAAGTCCGCATATAGTCCTTTCTCTTGTTCTCTTGTTCTTTATTTAATAATATTTTATTCATTACGACGTTATAGCTAGCCTACTCGATGCTCTTACCTACTGCTTAATTACTGTTAATTGCTTATGCTTAATTACTGCTAATCGCATAATATACAGTTTGCCTCTTTCAGATGTTGCAACTAATCCAAACGCGCTTGTGTATCGCTTGATTACCAGAAACACGTTGCTCGCCACAATACTGGCCCTATATTATTACTAAGCTTCTCACAATATGGAATGTCGTCTATATGGATGATGAAAGAGGTCTCATCCCGCGAGGACACAACATAATCTTCTCCTTTTCTTAAACGACGATTTAGTTCTCGAGCAGGCGAGTATTATCGCCCGCGATTACGAAATTCTTTGTATCTCATAAAACGCCTTGATAAAATAGAGAATAAAGTTTAATTGAATTTGCGATCGTGCTTATTTGTGCAACCAGATTTTAATTTTTTATCAAATTGTCTACCCAAGTAACGCAATTTGACTCAGCTGCGACAAAAATATAGTATAACGTCCTGCCAGTCTTAATTACAGTTCCCAGACAACATAATGTTTAAAATCGGGACATTAAAGATAATCTTTAAGACGCCTTAAAGACATTTATTCGTAAATCGTCTGAAAGACATCTTAAAGATGATCTCTAAGACGTCGTATGTCCCGATTTTAGACATTATGTTGTCTGGGTTGTTTGGCAGCAAAAGTAA